CTGACAGACATACTGCTCTGCACAGTGACTCCAGCTATATACTGACAGACATACTGCTCTGCACAGTGACTCCAGCTATATACTGACAGACATACTGCTCTGCACAGTGACTACAGCTATATACTGACAGACATACTGCTCTGCACAGTGACTACAGCTATATACTGACAAACATACTGCTCTGCACAGTGACTCCCGCTATACACCTAGTGACAGACATACTGCTGTGCTCAGTGACTCCAGCTATATACTGAGTGACAGTGTGGGTAACATATTTAAAAATTCTACTAGCCACTAGCGAGTTAGCATTTTGCCCTGGGGAGCATACTATGGATTGTAGTGGTTAGCCCATTTTAAGACCTGGCAAGTAGCATATAACTTTAAATTGTAAGCCATTACTACCAACCAGAAAGATAAAGCACCGCGCTTACAGCAGCAGTGACTTAGTATCCAACAGCTTAAAATACATAGTAAAAACAAAGAAAACGTTACCTGCGCTCTGGCCTAAATCCCCATGCGCGTTTAAACAGAAATGGAGGCTCTTTGGTTTTATTCTAATGGCCATTTGAATATATAAGCTCACCTGCCACGTCAAGGCAAGCCTCAATAGGTGAGTTCCTACACTAGCCATTAGATATGCCGATATCAACCATGAGTCTCCAGTGAGACAGGAAGGGGTATTTTATAAACCCTTTAACATTTAACCCTTCATAGGGCTTGTGCACATACAATAAACACTGCTGATATCAGACAAAGTGAGACAGGAAGGGGTATTTTATAAACCCAAAAAACAAGAGAGGAAATATTAGAAATGGGTAAAGCCCATATCAAAATTCCAAAAGGGTTACAGAGATATCAAGGGGCATAACCCCACACGATAATTTAGAGTAAAAGGAAAGAGCTAGAGTGAAATGGTTGTTCCATTAGAGGTGGAAAAATTGGACATCCATTACACCTAAAAGATATCTCATAAAAATAGTAGAATAATTATTGGGTATAACCTTTATTAAGCCGCATATAGATAAAAAACAAAGAACTATAAAGTGTGGTGATAGTGAAATACTTGTGAAAAAAACAAGTGAAATAAAAACTGGGTAGATGCAGTGTGGATATCCTCAGATAGTAATAGGGTGACTAAAGTCTCTCAGGCTTAGATGTGCACTAAAAGGTATATTATTGACCATAAATTATCGCACAGTCACTCCCTATATCCACATAAATAGTCATAGACTCTCATATATTTTTTCAGCATACAGAGTAGAATTAAATCAATAGTAACCATAGAATATATATCTATCGTATAAAGTTATCTAAACTGTTGAAAAATAAAGAGAAAAGAAAAGAGAGTCTGGAGGGAGATTGAGTGAAAATATATATAATTATCTTTGCTACTCAGTTGGAAATATAGACACAAAATGTCTTAATCGGTAGATATATAGCAGCCTTTATATAGATATATACAATGTATAATATCCAAGTGTATCCTTATGGGAATATTGGTAGGGTTAAATGGATGAGCATAAATAGTATTTGGTTAAATGGAAACCATACTAAAAAAGGTGTCTCAATACATCAGTTAAACCATAGATGTATGTATAAATATAAATAACATGCTCAATACGTGGTTAGGATTAAACCTGGGAGGTTAATGTGCAGTTGTCTCTTAATTATCTCTTAGTAATGAGATGGGTTAAAAAATTCAAACCTCAAATTCATAATTGCAGCTGCCAGGCAGAAAAATACATCCCACGAACAAAAACCACTTAGATAATACACCCCATCCACAACAGAGTTCCCTAAGAGTGAACTCCTATATAGAAGGTATACACTGGTGTTTTAGAACCACATAAATTGCTATATCTATATCTAGATAGAGATTTCACGTCTGCATACACTATAAGAGATTTCTGTATAAACAGTGAGCTGCTGCTTCAGGGCAGCCTAGCGCTAAAAGTCACTGACTAGAAACTCTCACAGAAAACGCTATTGCTAGCTCCTACTGCTGCCACTAACTATTCTTGACAAGATGGTTCCAGCTGAGAAGACTCGGTCAAACTCAAACTAAGTCCCACAGTATATAATCGGCATCCCCCAGTATTAAGACGACTAACGCTCGACGCACGTTTCGGCGCGTGGCAGGTGAGCTTATATATTCAAATGGCCATTAGAATAAAACCAAAGAGCCTCCATTTCTGTTTAAACACACATGGGGATTTAGGCCAGAGCGCAGGTAACGTTTTCTTTGTTATTACTACCATCCAGGCCTTAAAAGTTACTCCTCTAATGCAAGACTTTGCTAACTTTCAAGGGCTTAATCTTCAATTGCCTTTGTATATATTACTACGTTACCATGACATTGCTCATACAATATCAACACATATTGCTGCCATGTGAAAGATACAAACATAAAATCACAGAGTGCATTGGTGCAGGAGTATCATTGTGAATATGCAATGTACATTTGTATCTGTGACTGTATCTGGATTGAATGTGTGTGTGTGAGCACTTCTGGTCTAGATGTGCATGTTGTATTTATGGCAAGGCTGTGTTGAGTGTGAGGTGCCTCTGAAAGGGTTAGTGTGTGTGTGGTTAAGTGACAGGATAACTGAAGGGGGGGGGGAGGGGGGGCGAGTATGAGATATCTGGCTCCAAGATCCTTTAAGTTCTGCAAGTTGTGAGGTGGTGTCTCCATAGATCTGCTTTGTTATTCCAGCATGTCCCACATGTACTCAATCTGATTGAGATATGGGGAATTGGGAGGCCAAGACAACACCTTGAACTCTATTTCATGTTCCTCAAACCATTCCTGAACAGGTTTTGGTGTGTGGCAGGGTGCATTATCCAGCTGAAAGAATCCACTGCCATCAGGGAACACCATTGCCATAAAGAGGTCTGCTTCAATCTCTAGGTAGGTGATACGTGTCAAAGCAACATCCACATGAATGCAAGGACCTAAGTTTTCCCAGAAGACCATTGCCCAGAGCATACCACTGCCCCCACCAGCCTGCCTTCTTTTCTTCCATAGTGCATCCTACTGCCATCTTTTCTCCAGATAAATAGACCCACACACACCCAGTCATCCACCTGATCTAAAAGAAAAGGGGATTCATAATATTGTAAAGTGCTATGGAATCTGTTGGCGCTATATAAATAATAATCAGACCAGCCAAGTAGACCGGTAACCTTCTTCCATTATTCAGTTCTGATGCTCACGACCCCATTAAAGACACTTTTGGCAGTGGACTGGGGTTATAATAGGCAAACTGTGATGCACTATGTTTTCAGGCACTTTCTCTCATGGCCAACATTATGATTTTCAGCAATTTGAGCTACAATAGCTCTTCTGTGTGATTGGACCAGATGGGCTAACCTTTGTTCTCCATGTGCACCAGTGAGCTTTCGGCAACCATAACCCGAGTACAGGGCATTCAGTTGTCATTCCTTGCATCACTTTTGGCAGGTACTAACTACTGCATACTGGGAACACACCACAAGACTTGCCATTTTGGAGATTCTCTGACCTCTGGCCCTTGTCAAATATACTCAGATCTTTTCATTTGCCCATTTTTTTCTGCTTCCAAAACATGAAATGTAAGAACTGACTGTTCACTTGCTGCCTTATATATCCAACCCTTTGATCAATATTATTCACTTTAACGGTCAGTGGTTTTAATGTTGAGGCAGATCAGTATTTATATTATAATTTACATATATACAAAAAATAAATATATATATATATACACACACACACACACCCCATTTTATTACCTTATGTGTTTCCAGTTTTGTAAATTTACATTATTAGATACAACACAGATATTTTACACTTAAATCGAGCTTGTATAAGATAGCATAGGTCATGACTGCATATGTATATACACACATATATACATACATATTAAGGCAGTGATTAAAGTTGTAAGGTTGGGTTTGTATGTTTTAGAATAAAAAAAAAAAAAAAAAATCTGACAGATGATGCCTGGAAATTGTATTGAGCAAATTTTCTATTTTAGAATTCTTTAACACTTTGATCACAGCTCTAAGAACATCACCTTTAAATACATTTCAACTTGGCCATATTTTAATCTATATGAAAATGACCCTTGTGAAATCGCAACTGCATCTAATTGGACTGTTCAGCTAACGATTACAATTTATACATGGCCTGTGCTAGTTTATAGTCCGTTACAATGCGGTCTTTATTTTCGCTGTTTTTCCACTGTATTAGACGCTTGATAGAGCGGATTTATTAGAGAAGTGAAATATTCAGGTGTACCAAATATTCAGGTTAAGCGTTCGGTACACAGTACAGCAAATAATCCATCATCCAAAAAGAAAATCCATTTCCTGAACAAATCTATTCAATATTTAGAAAGCACGGTTCCAAAAATCTGGGTGGCAGGTAACCATGGTGACAAGTAGTCAGATCTGGGTGCCCACGTAACATTGAGTGCATAAGAAATAATCCCACTGTATCATTTATGACCTTTGTAGTTTTTAACTTCTAAAAGATGAGAGTTCCAGAGTTTAGGTTCAAATGCCACAGAGTGTAAGTAAGATCTTGAGCTACGATGCTTGGGGACAAAATGTTTGTTTTCTTCTTCCCAACAAAGGTATTAAATCACCTAGAAGTCATGTTTACATTGAAGTGCACAGGTAGGTTGTATAAATGCTGGCACTTCAATAAAGAATAAACTCTGATCAATACATCTGATAGCAACTAGGATACGACAGTATACAGATTACTTAATTTTTTCATTTCAGATGCACTTTTCAAGCAGAATTTGAGCTCTGTAAGAGGTGGAAATGCATGAACCAAAAAAAGTCAGACAAATATGGGCTGCTCATTATTCTGGAACATAAACTGTTATCAGGTCACATATAGAAGACATTTCATGTGATATTCTATATCATGAATACAAGGCAATATTAGCAACACCATTCACACTGCGTTTTCAAGCAAACTGCATAAGAATAAGTAGAAATTAGACAAGAAACAACAGGAATATTGCTTGGGCAGAAAACAACATTACCTTCTTTGCTGTTATCATGTTTTCGCCAAGAATATCAAACAGGAGACCAGGTATGTGTAAATTCGTTTTATTATGTAGAACCACAAAATAACATTTGTGCTACCAGTCTTTTTTCTTCCAAATAACAAATGGAAACTTAATAACATTTGCCCTGATTTATTCTCAAACTATTTTGCATTCTGCAAAGGCCTTGACATCTAGAAGCAGAAATAAATGCACAGTGGAGACTGAAGAGGTGTTACATTGCTGCTCCCAAATGGCAAATGATGCCAGATGTCCCAATTTAAGCCAGCAGTTCATGATATTGAAAGTCTTTCAGTCACCTGAACAGAGTATTGCAAAACACTTCCATTCAGACAGCTTAAACCCAGTTTCAGTTAGATGGTCATAATCCCGGACACAGTGACTGCAGAGGGTTTTCAAACTGATCATATAATTATGGCGGCATATGATGTGTAAAGTTATGTTCTAGAATCATGAACTGAATAAGTCATATCCACATATTAAAGGAACAGATTATCTTTTTTTTCCCTTTAAACCCACAAACCTGGTGTCCGTGACAACTGAAAAGATTCTAATTAAAAAAAATACAGAAAAAAAACCCATTAAAAATATGCGCAAGTCATACATTTTTTAAAGCCATGTATACAGTTAGAATAGGACAGTAGTGGTCCGCGAGGGTTTACCTTTTAAACTACAAGGAACATATTTCCCATGATGCTTTGTCAGCCACACAGCTGGCAGAATATTATGGGAAACACAGTCCACAATAGCTGATTTGCCAAAGAGGAACCATCACTGGATATGATGTACTGCTGTTTCAGTTACAAAGATCAACAAGTTTGATAGATCGAAAAGTTCCAAACAATGCACACACCCCATCCATTATTTAAATACAACTGTGTCCAACATAGCAGCTAAACACTGGACAATATTTGATGTCATTAATACATCCACGTGCTCTTCCAAATGGCGTTTGGGATCCTAAATGGAAGGGGAAAAAAAAATAGATTAAAAAAATAATTTAAAAAAAATTAAGCAATATTTAGTTTTAGCAGTTTTTAGTGTATACATCATATGTACTTTTAATTAGTATCTTATGGCTTTTTATGGCACACAATTTGGATGTTCATTTATTTCACTGTTCTCATATATCAATTGTGGTCTCCTGGGAGGGAGGGAGTCTTGAAAGCCTTCTCTTTTTTGTGTGTCTTGTACGTGCTCATGCCTTTTTTTTTTTATTTTAAAATGGAAAATACCCAAGAAAACCAGATTTTTGTATGCCAGCATGTAGGCTTGTTTTGTAAGCATGAAGTCCAAATCTGCATTTGGACAACATAACAGATTTGAGAAGAGACAAATAAAAACCATCATTCACACCAACACTTGCAGTGAATGATTTAAAAATGGTTATTCTAACTGGCATGTTTTTATTGGTCTATTTTACTTGTTTTTTCAAAAATGCAATTCTTAACCCTCATCCAAAAGTGATCACATGCAGAACACAATTTTACTAGCCAATATAGGTGCTAATCAAGTTGCAAACAAAATAATGAGATATTTTGTTAGTGTTTTTTAATAGATGAGAGCAGGTCACTTGCTTATTTGCCTAATCAAGCAAAAGACAATTTGCCTCACAAAATGTAATGCATTTGCACACACACTGCCCTCAGAAAGCCTTTATTGCTATATGGCAGTTTTGAATAAATGCATAAGCGAACGTCATGTGCACTGACTTGACAATAACACTCACCCCTATATATATGATGGGTGGTTAAATGGTTAAGCAATACAACCACTGAAATTAATATGGTTGTGCTTAAGAGGCATAGCCCACAAATCTGAACTATCGTGTTCCCCCATCATTCTATCTATTCCTATACTTTACCTGTTTCCCAACATTTTTGATTGCAAGCTGCTCAGGTGTCATCTTATCCTCCTCTTCCACAGCCTGGATAGAAGAGCAAAATACTAATGTAAGAAATAATAAAATCACAAAATACAAAACATTTCAAAATGGTCCTATTATAAGAGTACAAAAAGACAATGGGAATGTCAAATACTGAATAATTCTTCACATTTTTCTATGAAAAAGGTATAAAAAGGTATACAATGCTGCAAAACTGTTTAGCTTTTGTACTGTTTAGGATGCTATAGAGATCACATTACGGGTACCCAAAAAGGTATATCCCCAGATGTTACAGAACTAGAGCTCCCATGATGCTTTGGCATTTTAAACATATGGGGATCTACCTTTTGGGCATCCCTGCGTTAAATAATAAAGTTGCAATTTTATTACACGAAAGGAGGCTTCATAGTTTGCAAGTCTCTTTACTATATTCCAATAGAAGCACAGATCATAACACAAAACTATTAATCCATCAAAAACCAGCATGAGGAGGCTATATAAGCTCTGACTGGAACAAGCACCTCCTCTTTCTTTGCTGCTCTCTTTGATAAGTGCACAGATCAGAGTATTATACATTAACATTTTCTCTTGATATAAGTTATCTTCAAATTATTTTTTACTATTTATTTATTAGTTTGTAACCTTTCCCTGGTTTTTCCCTCAGGTCCCAGGGCTCCTTTTGGGCTAATTGTGGACGGTTCACTCCCTTTCACATATTTGGTCATAGCTCAGTACCTCATATTCCCTCACTCTGAGCACTGCGGCAGCCGAGAAGCTTTATATTTCCTTTCCAGGGCTGTTCAGGAGGCTAAATCATTTCATGGTGCACAAGCACTTCAAAATGGAGGACATTTACCTTCTAGGAGACCATTTCCTCAAAAACGACTGGTTTACGCATCTCAACCTAAAAGACACATACCTGTCCGTACTTATAACCCAAGAATGTCATTGTTACCTCCGGTTCTGATGGCAGCATCGTCCTCGCCAGTTCACAAGTCTCCTTTTCAATCTCAGCTCAGCACCTTGGTGTTTTACAAAACTACTGAAACCGGTTATGGCACACAGGAATCCGATTCCTGGTCTACTTGGATGATTTGTTGATATTCTGCGACTCATTGTCTTTGATCTGAGACACAGTTTGTCATGAATTTGCTTCAATCATTGGGTTTTGTGGTCAACAGGGAAAAATCAGCTTTGACGCCCACTCAAGTAGTCCAGTTCCTAGGTTTTGGAATGGACTCCAGGAACTGGTTTACCTGACACTAGCAGGACAACAGCCAATGGAAGTGGACGGACATCATATTTCAACTCCTCTTCCAGATGTGAGGTCCTTTCACACTGGTCATCTTTGCCTCCATGACCAGTCACCATCTACTGACCTTCTTCAGCTGGCTCCTGGATCCAGAATGCGCTGCCATGTACACTGTTCTCCAGGACTGGTCCAATTGGGGGACAAATGCTTCTCACCCTTCATTACGATTGCAAGAGTTTTACAGCAGATTAGACGACAAGGCTCGCTCTCCTACTGATCACCCTCTCGTGGTAGAGCCAGGCCTGGTACCCAGATATACTGGAAATATCATGCAAGAATCTAATTCTCCTTCCCTCACTGATCTCAAGGGGGTTCCTTCACACCCTGATCCTCCAGCAGCATCTGCATTTGGTTGCCAGAGCGCCTTCCGGGGTTTTTCGAATGTTGACGAACTATCGCAGATGACTTCTTTGGGGTTCATAGGCACCTGGGACGAGACTGTGCTATCTATTCGCCTGGAACTCTTCTCTGAAGAGTAAATACGATCCATTTACAGCACCTGCTTCGGCGACCCTAAGCTTCCTGTCTCATCCTATCAGTCCATTAATGTCATGCGTTCTGCCATTTCGGCAGCTTGCGTGTCCTTTCAGGGTGTGCCGGTGTGACAAGACCCTTTAAACTGTTGTCTTCTAAGAGGCATCAAACTAGCCCACCTGTGGGATGTGGACCTCGTGCTTAAATTCGTTTGTGATTGTCTGGGCAACGAGTCCTTATCTCTGCGTCATATTTCGACAAAACTTGACCTATTGATTTGTCTCGTCTCCTCCTTTCAGGTTTCTGAAGTTTAAGCTTTGGATGTCGTCAGTTTTTCTCTTTACTCCAGACAGGGTTTCTTTCTCCATATCCCATCTTACTAAGGCAGATTCCTCTATGGTCTTTTACCCCCTTTTTCCGTGACATGCCTCAGCATTGTGTGGTGGTCAAGACCTTCCTTTGGTATGTGGAGGTTAATGCACCATTACACTGTCGAACACTGTCAACTTCTTGTGTTGTATGTTAACCTGCCCAATCCAGTTTCTTCTACCATCTTAGCGATATGGGTCAGATGGCTTCTCACTTTGGCAGGAGTGGACCCTCTAAATAGTGGCATTGTGAGCCTTTAAGTCAGGTGTATCCTTATGAGACATTAGGCGTTCAGCAGACTTGGCTCGGGAAGACAGCTTTCAAATATTTAACTTCCGCCCTTCCTCTCACACTTCATTTTCTCTTTACTAATACTGTTAAAAATGCTAAATATGAGGCCTCCACTCATGTAATAAAATAGTAGATTATGCTAGCCTTCGTGTACTATAATCTTAATTATCTAGTTAAAGGGTTGTCACGGCATCTTGAAGATGTAATCACACTCACAGTAAATTAACAGTCAACTAATTCGTAGTTCTGAAAGGCACAGATGTTGCTTCAAAAAGTAATTGAGATGATAACCTGGCAGTGTGGGGTCTTGGAAAAACTTTGACCTGCTTCAGCAACTATGAAACCAAATATTTCCAAGGAACTATTAAACAGTAGAGGGGTGCAAGGACACAGCAAAGCAGTGAAAGCTAAAGGGTGCATGATACACAATGCTAACATATGCTCATTGCTCCAAGACTTTAAAAGGTGCAAGTAAGGCGTTTAAATATGTTTTGAGAAAAAGAAAATAAAATATGCGCAGTCTACCCTGGATCTTAATTTTTTTAAATTATTATTAAGGATATCTTAGAATACACAATCCCGAAGAAGGAGGTAAGAACTTTTTGTTGCTACATCACAGACAAGTAAAAAGCAGTAATAGCACAGATAAAGAAAAAAAAATGGTTGAAACAAATAAAACACTGATGATTAAATGATTATACCAAAAGTCATGGATTTTAAGCATAGCAAAACACATTAAAAATATTATCTTTATCACTTGAGTGTATGCTTCTTTTGTGTCAACATTCCTATATCATTAAAACAATTTTTAATGAGATGAAAAGATGAAATTGTGTATTGGTAACCAGGTGTCGCCTCTTACAATTGTGCATGAATCCAATTAATGAAGTATATCCTAATCAAGTCTGACAATTACAAAGAAGTCTATGTGTTCTCTCAGCTCAAGACAAACAATTACTCATATATCCCCAATTGGAGTGACTTCTGGATTTTCACTCTGAAATCATTCAAAGCTAACTAGATCCATACTCAATGCCAGGCCTAACACCCACTCTGATCTACTGGCAGCAGCCACATAAAAAAAAAAATATATAAAATAAAAAAAAAACCCTGAAATAATAACATATGCTACAGGCTCAGTTAATAATATGGTGAGCTGAATTCCCTCCTGATATATGTAAATAGGATTCAATAATGAGCTAACACAAAGTGTCATGGTATCTGTACAAGAACACTATAGCATTAGGAATGCAACCCCCCCCACACCTTTCCAATAAAATTTATATTTAAAAAAACCAAAAAAAAAAAACCCATTCACATACTTTTTCAAGTGCCCTGGAGGCTACCTCATCGCTGCTCCCCTCTCTGTCTCCTGCAACGTCATCAAGGAGGCATGGTCTCCTCCTGAGACAGTCCAATCCAATGCTTCTCAGAAAGGAGTGTTAGGGATCTGATGTGCATTTAATGTGTCTCATAGAAAGCATTAAGTTCAATGTTTTCCTATGAGCTACATTATCATGTGACAGTTACATAGGCAAAAAAGAAACTTGCACCCATCATTTTACTCAGTCACTGCCCTTTAGTGACTATAAGTTTAACCCTGCATGGTCCTTTCTGAAAAACCGGTGCTTAAGTGTCTGTTAGATATATTCTGTGGGATACATGCAGATTATCTGGACATGATTTGTACCTTGTTGTAATTCTTTGCAAGTTCCAACATCTCCTTCACAACGGTTTCATTAAGTTTACAGTGTTCACTGTAGTCCTGAAGTGTCAAACCTTCCATCCAACTCTTCTTATGCAAATTTAGCAACATCTACAGAAAAAAAAATAGTTATTAGGACCAAATTAAATACTTATTTCCCAAAACTGTTTATTAAAAGTACCAAAGAACTATGAATTAGGAATATTTCAAGACTGCTTACATTCTCTGGAGAACAGTGATATGCCTTCACAAAACGGCATACAACGTTTACAAATGTAAACAGAAATTCAAAATACATTGCTACTTATTTTCATTATATAGGTTATATTGCTCAGTGGTCATTTTCGGCCTGCAGTACCTTTACCTGACCCAAATGACAGAGCGTATGTTCTATGTCAATAGGATTTCAAAAATAACACTATTTTCTTCGAAGAAAAAAAGTAGATCAATTTTCATCGCTAAAGATCACCAAAAGTGGTGGACATTCATACGACCAGTTTAGGTAAACGGACAGGTGTAATTAATCTCTAAAAGTGACCTACCTTTACGGATGTAGTTTACCTCCAAAAGGCAGACAATAAAGGAGGCAATACAATACAAATTGCATACCTTTTGCTCCAGTTCATTTTTTCTGTAGTTAATTGTTATGGAGTAGTAATGTCGGTTAAGGCCATGAATGAGAGCCTAAAACAAAGAAAAAGAAAATAAATAGATTAACTACAAAAAACAAACAACAATATCTAACCATTTGAATGACAAAAGGTTAACCCCCTTAAAGACCTAGTTTATTTATTTATTTATTTATTTTCACTTAAGGACCAAAGCAATTTTTGCTCTGTGTGTTCTCAACGGCAATTTCCATCTTTCTCATTGACTGCACCAACACATTATGCACAATTTTAAAAGACAGAAAAGGCTTTAAATAGTTGTGAGATGTGACATATACACACTCATTTGTTTAAAAAAATAATATAAAAGTACACAAAAATGCAGGTCACCAAAATACTAGAAGTAAAATAAAATGTAAATGATGAGCAATTTTAGAATTTGATATGGTTGTCTTGAAAGTGTAACAGACATCACAGAAAATGAAATTGCCACACAAAAATGAATATTTTTATATAAAGATGACACTACAGGCTATTTACCTAAGGGGATTTGGACACTTATTATGCAGCCATTTAACACCCTGTGATAAATATTGTATTACATTGTGTTAGGTTTTTTTCTCCTGATTTTTCAATGCACATGCCTTTTCAGTATTTCTTAAACCTGATGTATGTTACTACTGTACAAAACCCCATATCGTGTTTAGCTACATCTTATGACTACAATACTCCCAATGTGTGCCTTTGTCACTATACTGTGAAGCTACAGTGCCATATGAGAGACCTGCCCATTTCAGTTTTTATAGATGGATTTGATTGTCTATGTCTCATGTTAGGGTGTTAAAGCAGTTGGACAGCTGAAATTTCAATTTGTCAAAGTAGACATTCCAGGGTCTCTCATATGGTGTGCATTGTGCCTTAGTAAATATATATATTGCATTTTTACATACTCATTACAATTTACCTGCCCATTCTGAAACCTAAAATGAGCCACTGTGATTAACACCCCCCCACCCCTCCCCAGTTATGCTCAGCAAACTCTTCTAATGAAATAAATACCTCCAATGTATGCCTGTGTCAAGTTACAGTGTCATATTGGACACCTGACTCTTTTAGTTTTGACAATAGGAATTTTCATCAATGCATTTGATGAGCCTATTCCACATTTTAGGGTAATGTAGAAATTTCTCAATTCAAAATCACCTCAAATTCAAATTAATAAATACCATTTGTGTAAGTAGACACCACGGGGGATATCATATGGTATATTACGGGCATTATTATTAAGCACCAATTTCTTTCAAAGTTTATAGCATTATTTTAACATTTGTTTACATGCACATTTAAATTTAGAGGTTCATTTTGTAAACTTGATAGTTGCTACTGTATTAAAAATCACTAAATTGTGCTCAGCTATATCTACAGAGTACAGAATAACCCCCTTCATATACCCTTGTCAGGTTTTTGTAAATATATAACCTGTCCACTGCAGTTAAAAACAAAACACAAATTAAAGGTTGATCTATGATGCCTTTGGGTAGATTTTAGTAGCTCACATATTTAAAATTACTCCATAAACGCATACCATTTGCAAATGTGTCCGAAAACCAGTCAGTATCTGGTGTGACCACCATTTGCCTCACACAGTCCAACACATCTCCTTCACATACAGTTGATCAGGTTGTTGATTGTGGCCTGTGGAATGTTGGTGCACTCCTCTTCAATGGCTGTGCGAAGTTGCTGGATATTGGCAGGACCTGGAACACGCTGTTGTATACGCCGATCCAGAGCATCCCAAACATGCTCAATGGGAGACATGTCCGGTGAATATGCAGGCCATGCAAGAACTGGGATGTTTTTAGTTTCCAGGAATTGTGTACAGATCCTTGCAACAAGGGGCCGTGCATTATCCTGCTGTAACATGAGTTGATGGTGGTGGATGAATGGCACAACAATGGGCCTTAGGATCTCGTCACAGTATCTCTGTGCATGCAAAATGCCATCAATAAAATGCACCTGTGTTCGTTGTCTATAACATAACCCAACTGCCACCATGGGCCACTCGACCCACAACGTTGACATCAGCAAACGGCTCACCCACACAACGCCATACACGCTGTCTGCCATCTGCCCTGTACAGTGAAAACCGGGATTCATCCTTGAACAGAACACCTCTCCAAAGTGCCAGACGCCATCCAAGTCAATTACGACGAACTGCAGTCAGGTCGAGACCCCGATGAGCTTCCCTGAGACGGTTTCTGACAGTTTGTGCAGAAATTCTTTGGTTTTGCAAACAGATTGTTGCAACAGCTGTCCAGGTGGCTGGTCTCAAAAGATATTATTACGATTTATATAGCGCCAACAGATTCCGTAGCGCTTTACAATATTATTAAAGGGGGGATTTGACTATAAATAGGACAATTACAAGAAAACCTACAGAAACAAAGGGTTGAAGATGGCCCTGCTCAAACGAGCTTACAGTCTATAGGAGGTGGGGTATAAAACACATTAGGACAGGGAATAGAAGTCAAATTAGGTGGGAGTTGAGCAGAGTTGGAGGAGAGAGTAGAGTGCTGCCCTTTAGGAGAGAGCAAGAGGCAGGTATGTGAGGTAGAGGTTAGTCTGGGAAGCCATAGGCTTTCCTAAAGAAATTAGTTTTAAGGCACTTCTTAAATGATTGAAGATTAGGGGAGAGTCTGATGGTGGCAGGCAGGCTATTCCATAGGACAGGAGCCGCCCGCGAAAAGTCCTGCAAGCGCGAGTTGGCCGTACGGGTACGAGCAGCGGACAGAAGGTGGTCACGGGCAGAGCGGAGAGACCGAGAAGGGGCATACCTATGGATCTGTGAGGAGATATAAGAGGGGCTAAGATTATTCAGTGCTTTATAGGTATGGGTTAGCACTTTGAATTAACTCCTATAGGATACAGGAAGCCAATGTAAGGACTGACAGAGGGGTGAGGTCTGAGAGGACCGACTAGAGAGGAAAATCAGTCTGGCGGCAGCATTCATTACAGAATACGGCTATTGTGAAGACCAGTTAGGAGAGAGTTACAATAGTCCATGCGAGAGATTACTAGAGCATGGACAAGCTCTTTAGTAGCATCTTGTGTAAGAAACGGGCGGATGCGGGCGATGTTTTTGAGGTGGAATTGGCATGATTTAACATAACAGATCTTGGAGGTGAAGATGCTGGATGTAGAGGTCCTAGGCTGGTGTGGTTACACGTGGTCTGCGGTTGTGAGGCCGGTTGCATGTACTGCTAAATTCTCTGAAACGCCTTTGGAGACTGCTTATGGTAGAGAAATGAACATTCAATTCACGGGCAACAGCTCTGGTGGACATGCCAATTGCACGCTCCCTCAAAACATGTGACATCTGTGGCATTGTGCTGTATGATAAAACTGCACATTTAAGAGTGGCCTTTTATTGTGGCCAGCCTAAGGCACACCTGTGCAATAATCATGCTGTCTAATCAGCATCTTGATATGGCACACCTGTGAGATGGATGGATTATCTCAGCAAAGGAGAAGTGCTCACTAACACAGATTTAGACAGATTTGTGAACAATATTTGAGAGAAATAGGCCTTTTGTGTACATAGAAAGTCTTAGATCTTTGAGTTCAGCTCACGAAAAATGAGGACAAAAACAAGTGTTGCGTTTTTAATTTTGTTCAGTGTAGACATTTATACAGTAGGTTTGTTAGTTTTTTCGTTTTTTTTTTATATGATCTCACAAATGTTTAATACATTATTTTTGTTACATCGTGCTAAAATTTTATTCAATGTGAACACAGGCCATTATTTTACACGTCTGAAAGAGGCACATCGTTTTACCAGCTTTCAATTAGTAATCTACAGAAGTGGAACTGGGAATAAATCATGCTGGACACACAACGTCCTTAAGCTTAAAATAATAATGAACAGTCCAAGATGCTATGATGTTTACAAGGTAGGTCATTATACACTGGCTAAAGGGTCTGGCATAATTTATTCTCTAGAAACATGCAAGTATGGGCATGTCCACACCAAACAAACAAAGGCAGTATTTTTGTCCTCATTAAATTGTGCATTTGATTTACTTGAAGTATAAAATTGCAACATTCACGCTTGCATGATTTAGTAATATGTAATGCACGCCAGATGAATCCAAGGACTCATATTGTGCAGAAAAGTAAAAAGAATACACGAAAAAAAAAACAAACAATGAAATTAAAAGGTCTACAGTATAGTAGTCATTTGACCAACCCTCAGCCTTATAAACAAGGCCACAACTCCCAAGACAATCGTAATTGTAGTACCTTGGTTTAGCAGGAGCCAAACGTGTTAGCAACCCAGAAGTATGCTCTACTAATGACTGTTCATAATTAATCATCTGAGAAAATATCGGTATGTCTACTTTGGGTCTTTGCACATAGCACAAAAAAAGACAAAATACAACAACCTAAAACGGTTTGGAAACTTAACTCAATGTTATATTTAGAAACATTTCCTCCACAATACAGTTACCAAATTCATACTATAATTTTCCTCATTTTAAACTTAGTAGTTAGCAAAAACACTGTCTGGATGCGGAAATGGACAGAAGGATGTAAACAATTAAAATGGTGGAGGTGATAAGTTATTTAGACTTAATATAGTGAAGTACAATTATGTACATTCCAATGGTTGTGGATCACATTCCACATTATGCTAATCCAGCCTGGCTGTGCATCCTATAAAAAAACAAAACTAACAGATCTTGCCATCGATTGAACCCTAACCAAGAACAAAGGAGGAAAAAATAAAATAAAGTTTGGGTATCTAATAAAAGCCAATATACAGAAATTACAAACTTCGCATTTGCCAAAAAGCAGAGCTTACTTGTATGGACGGTTTGTTTAAATGACCAAGATTTGATGTGGTTTGTCTAGGTTCGTGTCCCAGGACCATCATGTTGGCATTGATGAGTCTGAAGGCATCAATAACAACCTGGAAAGAAATTAAACACACAGTTGTATCAGTTCCTCTGAGAACCTTCAAGCAGAACATTGGACCAGGCATGGACAATTCATATCAGTGTTGGCAGGTTTCCAAATATTCATTTAATTAGAATATTAATAAAATGAAACCCCTGCTGGCTTTGCCATTCTGCATGCAAAAGGAACATTAAAGATTGTTTCTTTCTTGGCATCACAGAGTAACAATAAATACTTATTTATAAACAGATTTCTGCATTAACTTCCAAAGGTTTGACAACTAGCTTACTTCTCATCTTTAATGTCGGCAAAAGGTTAAATGTGAAAGTGAGCACAAGCTAAGGGACAGTGTTTACGGCCCAGTCCTGTCAGATCAATAACACACATACTCCAGCAATGACAACAAAATTATAAGCAGCAAGGAACATTTCTTTAACTTTGTCATTTGGGTCCTGGTGGCCAGAACTGAAAGCCCATCTGACGAGGAAACAATCTAGCATTTGGTTTTCTAAAAATACCAGCATAGCTGTTGTAATGATCAAAATTATCAACACGTATATATAAAAGATTAAAGAAAAGAAAGGAGGAGGACATTTTAGGGCATTGGGATCTAAATATAAATCCTGCTTGCAATGCAAAGCATGTGAACAAGACATAATAAAATACTAGACATGATATGCCAGAGTGGAGTAATGCAGCGTTGCACCCAGACCCAGCACCTCGGTATTCCAGCATAAAGTGCTCCTTTACTCTACTGTGTGCATGTATACATCACATATATGTGCTAATCAGATAACGTTGGATCGGTACTCCCTTACACCAATAGGAAAGAAAAACAAAAACGTACAAGATCATTTCCGCAATAGAGAGATTGCCCACCGTGAAAAATAGAACTAATGACTGTGTCCTGCAGACAAGTTGCTTACTTAAGAGTTAGATTTATTTTTAATTGTGAAGGTATATGAATGTATGTGGACGAATATATTTTCTGCTAGTACGCTTCAAGTTCCAACGCTTCATGGTGCATGCACAGAGTCCTAAGGGTCTACCTTACCTTGACCCCAGTGGGCATAATTTCACAAACTATTAGAACTTGTCATTAACCCACAACTTAACCCTAGGGAGCATGAATTCACTCACCAGTATATACCCCAAAAACATGTTTCACTCTAGGTGTACAAACACTCATTTAGTACCTCTAGGATCTAACTCAATCCCCACAGGGAGCATGCACGCAGATTACCAAGACCAACATTTACTGTAGCTGCAGCAGCATGCCATGTTTTAAAAAAAATTCTCAAGTTATTTAGAGTAGGTTGAAAAACAGAATTGTTTGTGATCATGGGCATGTATGGTGAATGCATCTTTATTGGTGTGAGGGAGGCATTGTAACTTTAGTTTTTTTTGTATTGTGCTCCAGCAATCCACAGTTACAACTTGGTTGTTTTAATCTTAATAGATCTGACTGAATGCACATATTTTTAGCCCGATAGTAGAATGACAAGAACCACAGAGTATCACATTTAAATCTGCACAGCTTTTAAAAGAATCTCAACCATAAAGTCCTTGCCAAAAGCATTCTGTGCTTCATCAGCTTTTGGATTCCAATTTCTTGTCATCTTTGTATTCTTGATTTGTCTCCCACAGATTTGAAAACCTTATGTACAACTTTTGGATTTTATCCTGTTGTTATTTGCTTGGAAAAACACTATTTCAGCAGGGCTAACAGTTGACATTTTTTAATTGACTGTTCTCAAGTTCTGTCTATACTCCGGAAGACTATGTACCAGTTAAATCTTATAGATTGCCAGACCATAGAATAACTTAAGGTAAGTATCGTACGCATTAAAAAACCCAAAACAAACACAAAACAAATAGATACACTATAATATTACGCATGGTGTGTTGTGAATGTACCAGAAATATTAGGGGAATTGAAGAAAAGTATTTTATTTAAAAAAAAATTATATATATATATATATATATATATATATATTAAACAAGATCTACAATGGGTGGATTTTAAACTCCGAAAGATATAATGCAATGTGGACAAAATTATGTACACTAATGACCAGTACAAGAAATATTAAAATGTGATGTTACAGACTATAATCCTGTAGGCAACCCTTCTAAACGAGCGCAAAGGTTTAGATGTCATATTAAAGGGACACTACAGGATGGATTCAATTACATTTGTTAAGTATTCTAAATAAGAAATATTAAAAAAAATATTCAAAAGACACCACACACATTCAAAGTTAAACTTAACTGTCTTCCCTTCATGCAACTTTCTGCCATGTCCAGATTCACATTCAACTTAAAATACGAAGAGGTTCAAATCTGTGCTATGCTTTCTTCAATCATGAGTCACTGAAACAATGTGCAGGTATACTGCCCCTTTAAATGCACAACACAGATGAAGGTTTACCCTTCATCTAAAATTATGCATTTGGGTCGTTAGAGACACTAGGCCTGCCAAATTCATTTTTTTAGATTAGAGATAAAAAATAAATAAACACAACTGATGGATATGGGATATGATTAGACAACATAACCAAGAATAAGAGGATTCCAATTTGTCATTCTTCTTCCTGATGTGGGGCACTGGGAGTGCGTCTGTTGCTTGTAAAAACAACTTTTACAAATATTTTTTGAGGAATTTTATTTGCATTTTTAATGCATTATCTATATAAGATGCAATGTCCCTTTACTTTTGGTAATAAGCTTTACTTAATGCATCCTTGTGCTGTAGAACTCATTGGTATTTAAATAATTAATAAAAATGTATAAGGTACTCAATCTCTTGCTCCAAAGGGAGGGCTGGAAAGACTTTCTGATGACCTTTGAACATCCTTGTGCAGTAAGTACATTGAGCAGCACATTTCAACTCTATACTATGGGAGGTTTTACAATGAAGACGATAGGAATCTCTGATTGGTATCTGATAATGTAACAGACTGCTACAGTGAACTATTTACATGTAGATAGTATTTATCATATTAGTCCTATATGTCACAATCCGGCAGTGGTTGTAAAAAAGCAGTGCTTTACAAATAGTTATGCCAAAGTTGGATATGGGTTTTTCGTAAAAGATTTGAGGTGCGGAAACGTAGAGTCACAAACATCAAAGTATGCAATTCCATGGGAATATATGAAGCTTCTTTCAATCATAGCTATGAGAGGGCTGTTTGTCCAAGTGTGCACATCATTAAAACTCTAATAATTATCCCCTAATTTCCAACAGTGCAGGGATTATATATATTTATAGAGACTACTCTGGAAATAGCCATTTTGGTTTGGCTTCTTCAGTTTGCAATGGTGCTTCCTGTATTTCAATTAAATAATAAATTATACAACATTAGGTATTTTCTATAAGCACAATTTCCATTTCATTATGATGCATCTCGTGGTGTTAAAATCTCTGTTAGTGACTTAACATTGTTATTATTTGCACCCCTATTGTCAATCCAAAAAAAAAAAAATCAGGCACCTAAAACAAATGTACCTTGATTCCAAAATGCACATAAAGAGAGCTAAGGAAAATGAGAGCTAAGGGTGTTCAGGGAGGGTGATACCACCCATTTCTCAGAACAGGAGCTCAAGGTAGGGTAAACCAGACATGGACTACAGAGGATGAAGAAACAAAGAATAGGGCCTCTATAGCACATTGCAATAATGACCGGTGTCTTTTACAAGAGACGCACATTGCAAATTTATAATTTGATCTTGGAGGGCATTCGGAAAGGAATTTCGTTTGAGTTATTTCATATTTCAGCTCATTTTTATCTGGGGCTTTTTGTTGTGCTCTCCAACTCCTGTATACACATATTTACACACCTATCTATAATCTTTCTCTCTGTAACAATATTTTTTTTTTTTTTTTCCTAACCATATCCAATATCCGTGACTTACAGAAGAAGACTGTGCATTAAAAATAAATCAGCACTTGCTTTTGAACGCACCAATTATCAATAAACAATTATAATCACCAACAGAGGTGGTAAAGATTAATTAGATTTTAACAAGAGTTGGCCATGTTTCTTTTGTTTTAAATGTATTAACAACTGGTTATACATATTACAAAAGCATACATTTATTCGTGAATAGGATTGTTGCTGCAACTCTAGAACTCAATAAAAATATCTATCAAACAATACTCCTGACCACACTCTTCTCGTAGCCACACTGAGACTTATGAGGTCAATGCTGCAGATGACAATTTATAACAAAACCATTAGCAGTTTCGGTAGCACAGGGAACCCTCCAGTCATTGTCTTTATTATCACTGCATGAATCGGCAGCATATGATTGCTTATAATTTCACAGGCTTGTTAAAATCAAGTTAAAGGTCTGTTTTCTTGTTGAATAAATTTTGTTCATATAATGCTGCCTATTTTATACACTCCGTCTTTAATAGAACCTTTGGTCTAGGAGTATCTCACGGATCAAAACAGAGCACTAAAATAGGGGCTGATGATGCTATTTAAATGTGTGATTCCTGCTGTCTTCTTGTTAGTATCTTTAATATAATAGAAGACCTTGTCTGTTTTGTAATTAACACATCTTTACTGGAGAGATATTTGGAAGTGATTGCTGTGAATATACTGGTTATAAAATAAACACAATCACACACCACTTTCTGTTATCAAATTTGTGAATTGTACACATTATATTCCAGATCAACAAACTGTGATATAACAGCCAAGAACAAGTCACATATTAGTACAGCCCTTTATTTTTCTGAAAATATGTATTTTCTCTGACCTTGCAAATATAATTAGCTGGTGGGATGTGTGGTTTGAGAATCATGGTTTCTGTACTAATTGCATCTCTTGGAATTAGATACTAAATATTTGGAAGCTGTCAATAGAAAATAGAAGCTGCATCTTTTTTGTACATCTGTGTTAGCTAGTAAATCCATCATGGCTTGAAAAACAAGAATTTGGATTCCATATTTATTCTATACAAAGATGGCAGGTGACTGACCCGTGGATTGTAAAAATAAATATTTTCACTAAAATAAACTAAATGCCAGATTATTTCCAAACAATAAAATCTTCAAAAATTGGCTCCCTCTAAATGACAATAATAAAAAAAAGCCTGCATGAAATTGTCATCTGCCTCATTTTGACATAGTGCTATTTAAGCATACTAACTCCATGTAAATAGTGATATACTTGAAATATATATATGTAGATTTTCTTTTTGCATTCAAAGTGTTTTTTGATTTTTTTTGCAGTAAAATAAAATAAAAAAATAAAAAAATCAGTTTACTTCTCCCATGACCTATGATGCTGGTAGCCTGCTCATTAATTTATTTATTTTTTGAAATTGAAACCTTAAACTTTCATTTTAAAGAGATTTGTCAATTTCAGATTTTTTTGGGCCATGTCGCAGTATTTAAAAAGTAAACAAATTACCTCTTCCTCAAACATATTTATTCCTATTCATGAAGACTTTAGACAATGGTGGAAATATGCATTAGGAAGGCAAAATCATGTGTTCTTGAAGGTGCAAAACGATGGCTATCAGAAAGGGGAAATACAAAATATACGAAAGATTTTTCCAAAATTACAATGAACAAAAAAAATAATTATTTTAATTCCAGATTATATTGAGATTTAACAATTTCAAAGAAAGACCACATCCAAGGCATAACAAAAATTGGAAAATTTAATATTTCTGGAAAGAATAAAGATCATTTTTGAATCATGTGATTGTGCACTTGTCCACTACATTTGCACTCAAATATAAAAGAATGTGTTGGCTTCACAAACGAGTATGCATTTTCATGTTTCCACAATTAATATAAAGAATTATATTTCCACACATGCTGGTCAATACATTAATTTTTATAGTAAGTGAACAGGATTTTAAAATATGCATTTCACTACAGATAAGGAGTATATTACCCTGAGAATAAACAAACTGGGACAAAATGCTACAACATATATACATATCTGTATTTAAACACAGGTAATCAGTATGTGGGGCCACGATCTGGCCACGAAATTCTAGAATCTAACTCCAGTGCTTTAAAGTCATACTCATTACAGTTGACAGACACTGATACAAATTGTAGAAATTAACAGGTAGTTGGAGACCTTGTCATTGTACATTAATTAACCTTATTGGTCAAATTAGCAGCTAATTAACGTCCAGCTCTACAGCATAGTGATTCCTCCAGAGACAATGAGGTAATTACAAACACTGCAATTTCAACACAAATGCTACCCAAGACGTTGGGTTTCTTTCAAGACACATTTTACAAATTTAGATTAATTGTGGCCTAAAACACCGAAATTATGAAACTGACTAGTAGGCAAAATATTATATTGCAGAACCTACTCAACCTCCGGTTTCTATGTTCCTTTCAATCTTCTAAGACTAAGACTTCTAAAGTGAATAGCATTTGAGTGGCTCTATACATTCTGTATATCATCATATTTAAATATAGACCATAGCGGTTTAATTGAAAAAGAAAATTATATTTCCTGCTTGCCACGTGCATGTTGGGCACAGATCATCATTTCGCATTTGCTAGAAAGTTGGGCTAGGATTTACACTGGAAAAATAAATAAAACACATTTTGATTGGCTGCTGATATCACAAAATGTCAGAAAAGGTTTAAAATTGTTATGGTATTCTAAATGAGCAACCTCCACTCTGAAATACGAACATTCTCGATTGTTAATTCCAGCTGCACCCATTACAGCTTGGTCAGGTGAGAACAATATTAATCAATTTACATTACTATCTTAAACTGGTTTATGGAAAGATCTGTCACACTTTATGTAGGCTGCTAGTGAACACATACAAGATACTAAACAAATCCAGGACAGCAGGTCATCATGGCAATTTAAATATGTTTCTCTGCTTGTCTGATGAGACCAAAATATTTCTTGTGACTGGCTCCCATAGACTGCAAGTGTGAAGACTGTTTCTGCAGTCTAGGTAACCAAAACTGTAACACACCACATATTTGGTTACCTAAAGGGACACTATAGGTACCCAGACAACTCTAGCTCATTGTGCAGTGTCCCTTTTGTACTTAGTGATTTAAGGATTCTTTAATTAAACATCAACAAATCACAGTTCAATGTTAAATGGAATACAACATAGACAATGAAAGAGCCATCATCCTCTGTCTAGTCTTCATAACCTCTAAGCAGCGCTGACGTTTTTAAGGTTCAATGCATATTTTGCAAACATCTCCAAAGGTGACATGCAGGCTTGGTGAGCAGTGACTGGAGAGAAGCTAAAGGAAGACATACTTGCTAGAAATAAAATGGCAGCTTCCACAATGAAGAGCTTCAAGCATCTACCTCCAGCTACTGGAGCCACGCATGTGAAATAGAGAGAGGGACACAGTGGTCTTATCTCAAGATGCACAAAAAGCAAGCCTTTTCTACACAGTCATTCCACACATTGTGTTAAAAGTGGAATGCTGTAATCTAATCAGGGCATCGCTGCATGGAACTGTGCAAGAAGCAAATCTTTTTGACAATGCATTTCCAAGATGGCCACCTACACAGTAAAAAATGTCAGATTCTTAGCTAGTAAATTACTACTACAGCTTGGTTAAAGCGAAAATAATCTAAATTTAATTTACAACAATATTCTCAACAGGTTAAGAGGAAAAAAAAAGTCTTCAAGTGATAAAGTCTCTAAACACCAGCAGTCAATGTGCAAAGATGTGTCTGCTCTGGAAACAAAAAGGCCCTTACCTCATTAATTTATTGTAAAAATCATACTAACCTACTGGGGATATTGTTTTAACTCATTGAATTAAAAAAGAAAAGAAAAGCTTGTTATGTAATATTGTCTTTAAAAGTATGCATGTGTATACTCTGGCTACTGATTATTGTATCTTCCATAACACGGCAACCAGAGAGCTGGAATGATCACTGCCTGTTCGTGGCACACCAGTTTAAGATTCTTGCATGCATGATTTACATTTTTTTGTGGACCATGTTGTTGTAATGTATTCTGTGATCACACAGGCATTGTTGATGTGCCAGGTGTGGTAGAGGATTAATGTCCCATCTAAAGCTTCTTTTATCACCTGCAACAGATCGGTTATCAAAATCCTGCTCTCCTTCTAGAATCGTTAAATATTAAACTGGGCATGTGACCCTGTGAGTGCAGCTTGGGTTTATGATTATTTGGTTACTTCTGCTGCCGTGCACTGTCAGGCATCCACAAGAGAAAAGCATCATCTACTGCCTCCTCTAAGCCCACAGCATAAAAAATTCACAGAAAACAGACTTTTTATGCCATTTTCGATGGAAAGCACAAAGAGCTGAAACTGACTGATGCCAAGTGAATATCACTGAATTACTGTGATTGTGTGCTTCAGGTTAGACACATTCAAATTATTTATACAATGTCAATTTTGGCTTCAGAAAGACAGATTCTTGGGAATAAGTGCATTTTCTCTCTACACCCGTCGAGAATTCTTCGCTCTGATTTTATTTATAAACAAGATGGAAATACATAAGTGGGATTTAAGTGTAACCCTTTCCATACAACACATAAGCATGTAAAATTGCATGTACACAACTCAATTTATCAATTGAAGCTATACATCAGCTGATCTACACACATCTACCACAGTTACCTTTAAGCCATTTAAGAAAATGTACATAAGTATTTTTTTTTTAAATGCATTATTACAAACTACACACCATATTATTGCTACTTATTGTTCAAGTGGCAGCTCAATCAGAGAGTAGATGTAATCTGCTGCCCGAGTATATAATGTAACAGGTTTTATGGATTTTGCACAACACTAAACATATAAATGTAAAATAATTCCGGTGATGCTGCAACATCTTCCTGAAATTAAATCCCTGGCATTAGAGATGTGGTAACGTATTACAAGGAAGCAAAGTCTAGGTGTACCAAATGCTTCCCATGCTTACACATAAGGATAAAATATGGCAGATATTAGTTGTGCCCTACTTTTTGCCTCCTCCCACCATCCAAAAAAGTGAAAGCTTACTTTAAATAGAATTATGAGGTTACTTACCATTAGGGTTCACTAAGCCTTTTAATAGTAATTAAAGTATTTTTTTATAACTCATTGGTTTTAAATACCTAATTTTCATCAGTATTATTTGACATTGCAAATAGTATCCAGAAATAAACCAAAAGAAATGATCTAGAATGGTGTGTGTCTCTCTGTTTATAAATACATTGTGTGTTTGTGTGTGTATACATACATATATACACACACACACACACATATATATATATATATATATATATATATACACACACACACACACACACACACACACACAAATAACTAAATTATAAATACACAAACATTGATGTATGTGTAAACAGATGATAATCAGATCTCATTTTTATTGCTTTAATTGTTGTCACCTATATATACACACACACACACGTCTACACATACATGCATATTTGTGTATTTATAAATACAAATTATATATATATATATATATATATATTTATAAATACATAAACATGCGTGTATGGTGTACACATATGTATATATAGATGACGACAATTAAAGCAATAACATTTGTATCTCCGAATAGCCCTGAAGTAAAACAGGTCTATGTGTATTTTGCAAATTCAACAGTAAATTTGGTAATAACCTTTGTTTTCTAATACAGAGGAGCCAGGCCTCATCGTGCCACCACAGTAATTATTATTTGTAAAACGTCAACAAATAGGTGGATGAACAAACAAGTTGCAGTAATAGTTGCAACAAGAAAATTATGCACAGAGGAACAGAAGACCCTGTTTAAACAAGCTTCCATTTTACACTTGTCTCGTGTTTACGTTGAAAGAAATAAAAAAAAATTACAGCAAAAAATATCTAATAAAGTGCATTTAAGCAATGCACACCCAATATTTGTTTCTCTATAAAAGAAAAATTGCTTTGCTAAGTTGTTACGCTGCAGCTAGTGAAAAAGATTGTTAATAGAACACTGATGTTGCTCATTTTTAATATTTCAGGTACGCCACCTTGCTGAGAACTGCATCAGATAAAAACACCAAATATAATATTATGTAAATGCAGCTTGGGAAGTTTCCCCAAAACAGACTGTGCTGGCTCCTGCTCGCAGATGTAAAATGTTTAGCTAGATACATAATGACAGACTATTTTAAGAGGAACTTCCATAATAATGCATTGCGATCATTTTATCATATCTATTATTTTACATTACAATGGAAGTGACATGTTCCAACAAGACACCTCAGCAGTATTTTAAAGCAGTAAACCATTCAAGCCAATTTCTGTATATTCTGACTTTTTCTAATCCGCTCTCCCTGTGGCTGAGCAAAATCGAATTGCCTCTCACATTTGCAGACAGCTCTGTGAAGGTGATAATAGAGCTGCACCCTGCTGTCACGAGGCAGGAAATAGGAAAATGGCATATGGGGCTAGAACGAACTAAAGAAGAAGAGAAAAAAAAAAAAAAACTAAAACCAAACAAGAACAAAAGAGATTTAAACAAAGGAGAACTACAACCCAATTTGCTTTGCACGTTAATTTCTTTTGAAAACACATTTCGCACACTTAGCCATTCATCTGTTTCCTTGCGACAAAATGTGAATGGTTGGGATGAAGTCTTTAGGGAAACTTTGTCTAAAATGCAATGAGTACATTGAAAAAAAGCATCGGTCTGCGGTGGACAGTTTCTGTAGAAGAGGCAGATGTAATTGGATAATCAGTACTTTCTTGATAACACGGGTAAGCTCACTTTCATAGAGTTAAAAATCAACCAATTAATGGACAAAGGGAACATTAACTGCTTAAAATTAGGCAGCGCTTTAAAAAGCTACGGGAACTATATTGACTGTGAATTTGATAGAGGCCTCTTAGGAAGAAAATGACTTAATAATTATATGCTGTGATAGGAAAAACTGAAAAAGATAAAAAATAAATAAAATAAAAAGTAATAAACAAAAGCAAGCCTAGATACGTGGGTACATATATATATAATGAGCACTAAAATGGAGTTGCATTTATATTGCGGACAGAACAGAAGTCAGGAGCTCGGAATGCGAACATCCTAGAAAATAATGTGAAGGAAATAAATAATGTTTTCCATCATACCTTTCCCTTAACGCTCTGAATAGGATCCACTACTACAGCTACTGCTCTCTCCGACAGGGCTTCGAAACTCTGCTGAGTGTTTATATCGACTCCAGAAAGCCAGCATCCAAAGCCGGGGTGGCTGTGATACCACCCGACCACCATCTCGGGCCTGAAACAAACAAAAAAAAAAAAATGTTCAGATACCAAACAGTACAAGCAAAACCGTTGCAAGATATGAAAAGAGGCATTAAACTAGCAGAGTATAAATTAGGATGAGGAGCAGGAAACTCGCTGGTGTGAAAAAGCCACCATTAGGAACATTCACCATAGTATCATTGTGAAAGCAAGAAAATGAATAAGTGTGACAAAAGAGTGGTATCATTAAGGGATGCACATTAGCAATAGTAGATCGTGCTTTCAGTATTTCACCCTGTTACCACACCTTCCCAGAGCCAGTTTTTACCCTTTCAGCACTTGAGTAAATATCTTCTCTTTAAATATCAATTAAACCAGCAGTACAACTAGGAACTCAGTCAAAAAGCAATTTGCACTGTTCCGCTCAGCTGCTGAGCCTTTTGCTAACATTAATTTTGAAGTTTTTTTTTTCACAGTAAAAGAATTTTGAGCTCGTACATGACAACTGTTGAGAGGTAAAGAATTAAATTGCATTAAAAAAAATGATCTGTGGAATTACAGTGTGCGCGTTAAAAGTTAGATAGCGTTGTTTACTAATAAAGCAATTAATGTCATCATTGGTGGGTAAGCTTTGCTACAACTTCGTTAAAACCAAGGTGTACAGAAATACCAAGCCAAAAACTTGCAACTTAAAAAGCGCAGTAGCAACGAATTGTAGAGTCTTTTAGATATAGAGGTATTAACGATCCAAACACTGCCAGAAAAAAACAAACAGATAAAAGAGAACTGCATGTGCATGTTATTGTTTAGAAAATAGACTATTTTGCCCAAAATTATATACTTCTTTAGAACTCAATAATTTAGTGGTTCAGATATTTACTCTCTTATAAAGGAATCCCCATTATGAAATGCTTATAAAGATGGTGTTGGAATTTCAATGAGATTCCAATACATGCAACAGATATAATAGGATAAAGTAGAGAATACTGTCTTATGTATTTTTCCCATGCTTAAAAAAAGAAAGGAAAAAAAGAAAGGGGAAGCTACTACTATCAAATGCTATCAAGCCCCCAGCCGTCACGAGGAGAAAATGCTTTGTTTAAGGAGCTTCTACCATCTCACTAACTTTTATTAGAATTACTTTAAGTGACAAGTGAACATGATGAACATGAATGAGAAAATATTTATATAGCATATAGACAAGCGATGGTGATAAATAAAAGATAGAGGTACGATTCTCTTTGCAAACCATGCATAAAAGATAGTGTGTAGCAATCACAGGCAATACATATTATAGGTATGGGTCACTTATACTGTATACATTTACACTAACTCTAATATTAGCCACAGTTCGACAGCAGGCAAGTTCAGACAAGTAGCAATATCATAGAAGTCTTCTATTATGACATGGATAGCTGCTGGCTGAATTATTAGAGTAGAGTATCCACGTTAACGTTAGGCTGATATGCTGCACCGCTACCAAGGAATATATGCAAGGTATGATAACTTTGGCCATTTGTATTTAGTAGAATCAAGCACCAGTGAGGGTGGTGCACGTAGCAATATCTACATAGTTCAGCTCTGTCTAAAGATAATCCAACAACGCACATTTCAAGTTTCTGCTGCTACTGGGGACTGTGTTGAACACACTTCTGAACGGTTTCTTCCAAATGCCTGGAGATATCAGGTCATATAACATATTTATTCTGTTGATACATGGTTACAATATTTCTGCCTAAAAACGTACACCACCATTGTAGACAGCGTTCACTTCCTTTAGCGAGTGCCACTTCTGATATGCTGCTCATACAGACTGACGTGGTTATGGTGCTTTCAATGAAAGAGTCAAAAAATAGTTTAAATGGGGATGCATCTATTAAAACAAACCCCTCTTTACTTTCAATGGATTTAATTTAAAGCTTCCAAATCACCTATCTGCAGCTTGATTTTCCTCAAAATGCAAAGAGAGCACCCCTACGGATCACATAACATCATGGAGTAAAGTTTTGAAAAGCAAGAACTTACCTTCCTGTTTGCTTCAACATGTCCAACATTTTTGCCTGGAACACTGGGTCGACTGCCTCCACACTAACACCCTGCAAAACACACACTTATTTATAGCCATATCCTTTTCCATTTTAAATATACAGGACTCATTAAAACCAGAAGATTGCAAATGTGCATTTTTCCCCCCTTCTCTTCTAACTATGCACTAGAACAAAAATATGAACAATTTAATTCAATATTTGCAGCAGGGAATGATAGTTGCAAACCAAGCTGTTCAGATAGCTAATGGTAAAGGGTTATTGCTGTTACAAAACAAGGAACAAAACTGTTAAAAGTAGCAGGATTAATCTTCTAAAACCACATTAATTAGCAAAGGGAGCAATTTGTGACAAACATGACAGTTTTGTAGAAAGCCTACACAGTTATGAGTAAGGCCAATCCAAACATTAGCAATTGCAGTGCGGAAAATACTGCTCGACACTAACAAAATTGTTACATAAGCAAGATATACAGGAGCATGCTTGTTCTGGCTGGCAGAAGGTATTGGACACAAGCATCATGAATGGAAATCTTTAGTCCACCATGATCACATATGCCAGTCCTCAGTCATACTGCCTTGCAAATTTTCATACAGAATTGTAAGATGCAAAAACAGTCTGGGTCTGCTTTTAGATGTGCAGAAATCTAAACCAAAGGCGCTTTCTCGGTCACAAAAACATTTCTCGAAGATGCTATAGGAACACTATAGTCACTAAAACAACTTTAGCTTAATGAAGCAGTTTCGGTGTAGAGATCATGCCCCTGCAGTTTCACTGCTCAATTCTCTGCCATTTAGGAGTTAAATCACTTTTTTATGCAGCCCGTGTCACATCAACCTGCATGTGACATACACAGCCTTCCAAACATTTGTAAAAAGTCATTTAATGTTTATACTTCCTTTATTGCAAATTTTGTTTAAATTTATTAAATCTCATCTCCTAATCCGTTAATAACTTGCTAGACCCTGCAGGAGTCTCATGTATATGATTAAAGTTCAGCTCATAGAGCAGAAGATAAAAATGTTTAAAGTAAGTTAAATCCAATTGAAAACAAAACCATTCTGCTTTCATGCAGTCTGTGTGAGTAGTCACAGTCAGGGGAGGTGTGACTAGGGCTGCATACACAGATACAAAAGTAATTTAACTCCTAAATGGCAGAGATTTGAGCAGAAAGACTGTCTCATTAACCAAAAACGGCTTCATTGAGCAAAAGTTGTTTTTTTTTACTATAGTGTTCCTTTAAATATTTCCTGTAAAGAGTCATCTAATGTTTACACTTCCTTTATTGGAAATGCTGCGTAATGTAGAATTTCTTATCTCTCTGGTTATGTTAATAGCTTGCCAGACCCTGCAGGAGCCTTGTGCATGTTATTAAAGTTGAATTTGCTGGAGATAAAAACCTTTTAAAATAAGTTATGTCTTATTGAAAATGAAACAATTTTGTTTTCATGCAGTATATGTCAGTCACAGCCAAGGGAGGTGTGACTAGGGCTGCATACACAGAAGAAAAAGTAATTTAACTCCTAAATGGCAAAGGAGTGAGCATTGAGACTTCAGATGCATGATCTATACACCAAAATGGCTTCATTAAGCTAAAGTTGTTTTGGTGACTATAGTGCCCCTTTAATATGCTGCAATTATACATTGCAAAGACTGATTGTTATTAGACGTTTATCAGAAAATGTGGTGTCCCTTGTTAGTTTGTGAGTGAGAAGCAAATACCAATATGGCATGCACTGTGACTGGGTGTGTATGCTATAAAAGCAGGTGTGCACATGCAGGCCAACACATGAGTACAAAGGCAATTGCACACAAACTATTTATTATTTCCAATGCTACATAGTGTGTGGTAGCATTGTGCAGTAGATGTTTACAGTGACTTTAATGCACTGGTGTAATCTCTACAATATGTGAAAGAAAGCACTGTGGATTTAATTATACTAATGTAAGTATCAAAATTACCATCTATTCACTCTTTTCCATCAGCCCAACTGGTGCCTTTGGTAGATGCCACAATAATGTTATATGCCTGCAGAGTCCCAACTGTAATGCTTAATGTAGATCCCTTGGTTCCAATGGTTACACATCTTAAAATTACAATCTAGGGGATTTTGTGCTTCTACCTTTGTGACAAATGTTTGGGAAAGTCCATTTTCGGCTACAGAAGGATAGCACAAAAAGGGTTTGCCGAAAATGAAACGAACAACTTAATGCATAAAACTCTGACTTCAACCCACTTACATAAATTGAGACCATATAAACAGGTTATTGCAAAAACCTCACTAATCTGCACAGGATTAATCTACAATAAGATCATTTGCCTCCTTATGGCTTGAAGCAGTATTGCTTTAAATTTAACCAAATTACACACAATCTTAAATTTGAGAATTCAACTTTGCAAAACCCAGATTCTTTTGATTTCAGTGAGATGGGCTTTAAGGAAAACAGGACATCCTGTTGGACTTAGTAAAAGATGAAGACCCAAGTCCTTACCAATAGAGACTCTGCTGCAAAGAATTCTGCACATTTTCAGTTGTTACACAACAGGCGTGCATCAAACTGACCCAACAAACTTGATCTCTAAAACCTTGGGGCTTGGCTAATGAGTTCCTCTAATGGAGCAATAGAAATACTTTTGAAATTCTAGCTTTTGAACTATGATCTATGTTTCTACGTTGACAAGCCAGCCATATGGCCATCAAATCATTGGAGGTCACAAAAACAGGGAAACCAAGGTCATAAAAGCAAAAACACAAGTTAGTCTTAACTGGCGACCAAGTGTAATTTATCTAGTCTTCAACATTTCACAAATGGGTGAGATTTCTAAAAGCTGGAGCTATCAATTTCTAGCACAGCAGATACCGTCGCAAGTACCTGCTGTTTTACTCACTATTTTCTCTAGTTAATCTAGTCAATGTAGTGGTTCTATATTGCAAAAAATCTAATTTCCAATTTTTTAATTCATTTTTAAAAAAACAGTACTTTCAGTGAAAACGTAGAAATAAATAAACAAAACGTAAAACAGAATTCAAAATTTAAAAACCCACCGTTCCCGATTGTGGCATGGCAAATACATCAATAACTCTGACTGTGTAGTCATCCACAAATTCTCCAAGCATCAGTCCCATGACTTCCATAGGGACACCAGCACGACCATGTTTAAGCATCTACAGAGAAGATATACAATGAAATAATATTAGAGCAGAAGGATACAATTGAGTCATAATGACCAGGTCTCTAAGACGGTATTAACTTGAAAGGATACTATAGGTACCCAGACCACTTCATTTCATTGAAGTGTCCCTGTCCCCTTAGCCTTGGAGAGTTAGAGAAACTGCAATTTTTATATTGCAATTTTAAGACTGCCTCTAGTAGCGGTCTATCAGATAGCCACTAAAGGAGCTTCCTGTAATTTCATAGATTTTAACTACGTGAAGCAGTGCTGGACGTCCTCACGATTAGTATAAGGACGCCCAGCATCTTTCAAATCCCAATAGGAAAGCATTGATTCAAGTCTTTTCTATGAGGGACACTATAGCGTTAGGAATACAGCTCTGCTAATTACTTTAAGCAAAACATTAAAACAATACATAAAAATTTAAATGCAAGAATATAGAACCTTAGACATTACTAACATCTATAAAATGCATAATAATCACTCTGCCTTACACTATTTGACCTGCCAAGAACTATTAACAGGTTTCCTATTTTTACGCAGAGTGGGTGATTGTTACTCTTGTGCTGACCCAAATCATACTGCGCATCTAACAATATTAGCATAGATACCTTTTTGTAGCAAAACGCCTACCCCTTAACATGCACAAAAGACATTTACATAGTTTTATATTGTGAAATAGACTCTGTTAAAGAAACATTTTGTAACATTACAACTCAACTTAAAATAGTTCATTAGTGCAGAAATCAAAACTTCCACATGCCCCCTCACAAAGGGAGAGTGTAAATCAAACTGTGTCAAGCTAGCATAGGAGTGGGGTTCACATTTAACCATGGCTACTTACCACTTGTGATAACCGGTTGTAGAGAAACAGGGCTAATTGTGGAAAGAAAGATGTGCCAAGGCTAGTTGAAAGACCAGCTCATGGAAGGTTTTAATTTTGCTTTGTAAATCCACTACAGTACAACCCACCAGGCACCTGTCTTGCATTCAAACACACTGAAAGTCCACACAAATACACCCCTAAATTTACTGGCACTGCACACAAATACACCAATGCATTCACAAACTGTGATTCCAAACAAATATAGCTCTGCATTCCCACTATGGCCTTGCACACAAAATCATCCCTACATTATGACAACTAAATGCTTATATTTAATTAACAAGACATCTATATATGACGCCTTAAATGAACAGTAAGAACTTCAACTGAAAAGTCACCGAAAGCCACCTGTTTTACAGCAGGACTTTCAACGGACCAAGTGCAGACTTATGCAACCCAAATAAGTCTGCTTTGCTTAGACACAGAGATTCATGTTAAAACATTGTAATTCATAGGCATTAATATGAGATGGAAACTTACCTTAAGCAAAGCCAGAGAGGATATATACACCTGTTCTGCCGTATCCACCGCAGGAGCATCTGTGGGTGGTCCCTGAAACGCAAGAGCAAAAAAAAATAAAAAAATAAAAAGGTCAGAAATTATGATTATTTTGAACTGATAAAGAATAAAAGATCTTTAATCCAATTATTTCCTTTTGTAAAATTAACATAGCGTATAGAAATATAGAAGTCCGTTTTGAAATTTCTGGTAGCATAAAAGGTAACATCATAGAATAGCCGCGGAAGGGTCAGTTATTTAAGCCACCTTAAACAGCAAAATAATCCCTGATTTCCTAATTATCTCTCTCGCATCTTCAGCTGGTGTGAATGTAAGTACTTTTGGACTGGCATGTTTAACTGGTTAAAAAAATAAATTAAAAAAAGCCCCACCCCACCCAATTTAAACTTGCATCACCTTTACAGAGCTTAGGGCTGAACATAGGCGAGACACTTTAAGACGATAAAGAAATGTCACTAGACAGACAAAGCTGTGGGAAAAAAGCCACAGATTTACAAAGTAACAACCTAGAACAATCTTATTTACATTTCAAACAATTACTATATATCTATAATACGTATCAAAATCTAGAAATTCTTGTCTGTCACAAAAATAGAAAATGTATGGGAAATAAAAAACAAAACACTCGCTTTAAATATAACAGAAAACTAAAAGATTTTTCAGGTTAAATTATTAATACAGTAATATAGATAGTAAGATTTTTTTCAAGTAGTTGACACACAAATTAAAAGGTAAAAATATGCCTTGCTCAAAGGAGCTTACAATCTATGAGGTGCAAGGTAGTCTTAGCAAATGTTGTACATGAGCTCATGCCTGGGTGCAATTTCGTGTGCCCATACAAACCATAAAAAAGGTGAAGTTTCAGAACTTCCACGATTAATCTTTTTAATGTGAAAACAGTGTTTATAACATGATCAACGTTTTGACCTCGCACCAAGTCTTTTTCAAGATTTTGAACACTGACTACTATGTAAATACCATTAAAAGGGCACCGCAGACTGGAAGGCAAGACATGGTTTACAATAAATAAAAAATATACTTGCCTCTAAAGTTTTCTGCAAAGCATTAGATCAGTAGCTTTTGCCGTGAGCTCTTCACACCAGGAAGCAACTGAAAATACTCAGCCAATCCCAACTACCCCACAGTCCAAAAAGAAGAGTGGATGATATCCCTTAAGTCAAGCACGTCAAACTCGCGGCCCACAATGGACGTCTTTGCGGCACAGTGAGCCTCGAGTACATGCTTGGTGTTAAAGCAGAGTAGGCACTTGCTTTTTTTCTGCATTGCAGGTGCCTACTGTGCTAACATTTACCTGACCGGAGAGGAAGCAGGACGCTGGCGGCAGCAAGGGAGCTCAGTCTTCCGGCACCACTAAAGCTGGGCGCGAGGGAACAGTGAGGAGCAGGAAGGGATCTCCAGATAGACTATTCCCACTGGACCCCAGGGAATTATGTGAATGTATGCAAGAATGTGTAAATGTGTGTGTCAGTGCGTTTGTGCCAGTCTGTGTGTATCAGTGAGTGGATCTGTGTGTGACGATGACCGCGGCTGGACAGTGGAGTACCTGGAGGTGCACAGAGGCACGCAACGCCGCACTTGACGTCGACGTGCTCCACCTTCACAGAGCTTCAAGAAGTAGCGGGAGGACCACTTTGACACAGGATGCGGACAGCACAATTTGAGGTATACCAGAGACTGGTCTACGGAGTCGCATACTGGCAGCTGTAACGTGAGTGGAGTCTGCTTGTTGGCTAGAGTGGGATTTAGTAGAGAACGGGAAGGGAGGGGACGACTGGGATTTAGTAGAGGGGGATGCTGTTTTTTTTTTTTTTTTAATACTGTACTTTTCAAAATAAATACAAAGAAACAAGTCCTGCGCTCAAACTTCTGGGCGGCAGCAATGACCATAGTACACATCAGCCAAAATACATATAGTAAAAACCAAAGAAAAAAGGTCTGCTTTGACGTGGCAGGTGGGCATACCCTCTCATGGCCATTGGAGGTAACTAAAAATCTCCATTTGTTTAAAAATACATAGGTATGTGGAAAGAATACTATATGTATTTTGGCTGATGTGTACTATGGTCTTTGCTGCCGCCCAGGAGTAATGGGAGTTTGAGCGCAGGACTTGTTTCTTTGTATTTGTATCACACAGCTAGATTACAATGCTGCTGCCCATCCCATGTGTTCCCTGTTAAGGTTTAATAAGAATGTAGGGATGTGTGTGTATATATATATATATATAAAATAAAAAAATACCCCTTTCTGTCTCAGAGATATCTTTGCCAGAAGCTCAAGGAAGCAAGGTGAATGGTTAGAGTTAGGACACAGCTAAGAGGTCTGCCTTGACGTGGCAGGTGGGCATAACCTCTCATGGCCAATGGAGGTACCTAAAAACCTCCATTTGTATAAAAATACATAGGGATGTGGAAAGAGCGCAGGTAACTTTTTTCCGTTGGTTTTTACTTTTCAGTTTGACGTGCTTGACTTAAGTATTTGATCAGCGGGGGTCTGTGAGATATTTAGTTCATACCTTGTCATGAAAAGCCACAATGAAATTACTGTGAGATAATGGAAGTGCAGTTTGCTATTAACTTACCCAAAGCAGTGTCATGTGGAGCTGGTCAAAAGTGGTATGGGCTTATAAACACACGTATATAATAATTTATTCTGTTGTAACATTGTAGCCTACAGCTGCATCATTATTAAAAATAGACGCAAATGATCAACCATTTGTCCAGTATGAGCCAGACGCATAGTTGTTGCAGCAACTAAAAAAAAAAACCAAACAAACAAAAAAAAAACTACAATTCTATTTCATAATACTGGTTAATAAAATTCAACTATATCGCTTGCATACTGGATAGCTGGAGATGAAATTATTGCAAATTATATAAGAATAATAATAAAGCAAAATAACGCGGCATGGGAAAATTCTTGACATTCTGCAGGGGGGTCAGTTACAAGACTCTTGAAAAATCGATCTGACTGATTTTGCTCTAAAAAGTATAGATGCTTCAATCCTCCTTTAACTGTCTAAAAGTGTTAGCCAGTGAGATGACCTGCCTGCAGGGCAATAATCACAGCCTTCACTCAGGACGCAAAAACAATCTGAAACCTGGAGAACCCATCCTGAGCTTTCACTAAGTCACAAACCAGGATAATGATGATATCATGATAATATAATTGGGAAGATGACAGAAAGGCAGCCTACCACTTCTATGTCTCAAACTACTATTAAAAATACAAAAAGATTTTTTTTAAAAGGCACGGTGTGACAGAACTGCTCATGCAGAAAACAAAGGCAACTTCAGAAAGTAAGAGATCTAACAGAGAAATAATAAACGTCATAGCATATTAGGTCAAGTATCTTAAATCAAAGCAGAGGAGTATTTAATGAGAGCAGCTTGTAATTTGCTGGAAATTAACAAGAAACAAGAAGAAAAATGTTTTCTAGACAACGCCATCTTTCCACTGTTAAGTTACCCAATTTACAGCTTTTGCTTATGTTGAAATGCAAAGTATTGTCTTATTTCTATCACATGGGCAATGTCTGTTGACAAAGAGCTACAGAAGGCATTTGAAATGGTAACAGCACAAATCTAATGTGCTATCTGCTCAGGCCTTTTAGCAAATTTATTAACACTATTAGCCGTTTTGCTTCACCTTCCCGTTGGTGTGAACTTACATCACTTACTTAGCCAGGTTTATTAAATACCTGCTGATTAAACAAGAGTCAAAACGACTGATAGGAAAACTGCAATCTGACGCTGAACTCTGTTTGGTGTAAATATGCCTACCAGGTAATGAACATTAACGAGGGCTAAAAACATCCAACCAGATTGAGTCAATTTCACGGAGGTGTTCAGGGACTGCATCGTTTTATTTCTAATAACGAGGCAGGTTTTTCTAGCAGGGCTTTCTATGATGCATAGATTTGAAATGTCCTTGCATAGGTGTGAACATTACATTATTTCACAGGTAAACAGAAGGTCTCTGCAGAAGAAAATAAATATGCAAACGCGGTGAGGAAAGATAAAAGTACACGCTGATAATGAGCAGCAAAGTTGTTATCTAGAAAAATAAATTAAAATGTTATCTGTGCAAAGTATCTGAATAGGATACGTTTTGAAAAGGGGAACATTTGATACAGTTAAGGATGTTTCATTCCGCACTAATCAGAACCTTTAATACCGCAAAGGTGGAGAATGCAGTTACAAAAAAATAAATTAAAATGTATATACGATATACTCTAGAAGCCAAGAATCAACCTTTTAATGCTTTAATTTTGTGAGTATTAAACAACTAGTGTGAAAAACAAGCTACATGTAAACTACAGCTTCTGCGTCTGCTTCAGCGACTAGCTGTGCAACCTGTTATAGGAGGTGTTAATTGGCAATAGGAGTACAAGTCCGAAGCATGTTCCCCATTGTCCAAGCACCGCAAGCCTAGGTCATTAAAGTGGAAATGAATTATTTCCTGCTGGTTTAACCCCTTGGTAGCCAAAAGGGTGAGCCTCCCACTGCAATCAGTAGTGTTCTTCTTATTCATTTCGCTCTCGAAGTGTTAAGCTGTCAGTACATCAGTAAGTGGGATCTTTTAATACAGCCATAAGATAATAATAAAGGGCAAAATAAATGATCAAACTGCTACTATCTTGTGTATAAGGACTGTTCCAGTAATGGTGGATATATAACAACCTAAATAATGGTATATTTTACACATACAGCATTTGGATAAGAGAGTGTACCAAGTTTCTCTACCTTGCAATATGTATATGGGTGTGTTATAGTAAACGTATAAGTAAAGCAGGAATACACTTTGTATGGTACCTTCTTCCCAAGGGATACAGTATGGCTATAAGAGGTCACAGTAGTGGTTATGGTGCAAAGAGGCTATGGGCAGCATACCATGCTATTTTGGCAAAAAATTATGGGAGCAGTTTTACAATAACTGGGTCTCTCTCCAGCACCCACAGGCCACAACACCACTAATATCATGGAATTTGCACTTATCAATTTAGTCCAACAGAACAGAATAAAAATATAGTATAGTTTAAGGAGTGCTATTTTTTTTATTTCATTGCTGCAAAGCTATATGATAATAACATACACCAAACCTTACAAGGTCCAAGAAAAGATCGCACAATAGCAAATATGGTCATATAGTTTAGAGACTTTGAAAACACCTAGCAATCTAAAACATACATACAAGTACTACATTCAATAATCAAACATGACCGAGAATAAAAAAAATAAATTAGAATTGCCACCTCATTCTGAGGTGCAGCGTGTGGCAAGGCCACACGGAAATAATAAAAATAGATTAGGACTGTGAGATATATATTTACTGAAGCTACATTATTACACAGAAAATATACATTTGGTGGGGAGGGGTTTCTCTGAATTGGGAGTTGTGCAGAACTGCAAATTATTTGGACAAAATAGTGAAGCTGTTAAGAATTGTTTCAAAGCCACTACTTTGGCATAGAATATGCAAATTCCTTGGTCAATACTCAACAATTTCTAACATAGTGAAAAAGCAAAAAAAAAAAAAAAACAAACAAAAAAACACCCCACAAACATATGGTTAAGTGGGCATGGCATGTGGAATTTTTATATAAATAATAAAATAGTTTAACAAATTATGATTTTTTTTGTTATTTCGTTGAATGCGAAGAAAAATACAAAAATAAATATCAAGGGGCAGCCATTAACATATTTGAGACAATTAACATCTGTCAAAAAAAGTTTGTTGACAAACCGAACAAAGAATGACTCCACACACCATAATCAAAACATGTGCCTTCAACAATTACCATATTAAAAGGATGGAGAATAAAACATGCATTAATAAATCAAAGACCGTTAATTTAAATCAGTAAACACCCAATTAATAATCATTTTAACTTTCTTAATTTCAAAAGCAGATACATGAACAAGTCAAATGAGGAGAAAAATATATATATTTAAACTCCCCCATAAAAGGTATAATATTTTAAGGATAGCCTTAATAATGTCATAAATGTCTCTACTTTGTTTCTCGGGTCACGGCTTAACGAGGACAAACACATGAAGGTAGCACATTCCTGTGCCAATTACAGAACTAGCTTTGCTGGGGGTACGGGGTTAGCGTCATTGATGAAATGCATTTTCATTTCCAGACAGTTAGAATTTTAATTGTTTAATAGTGCACATTGTCTTAAAAAAAAAAAGGGGAAAAACAAAACAAGTTCATGAACCCCATCTAAAGAAAGAATGGGGGGGCTCTATAAATTTATCAAATCACTTATTTATAGAGATGTCGCGAACCGTTCGCGAACTTCCGTTGAACGCTTTCCGCGGTTCGCCACGAACCGTTCGCGGCGAGCTCCGGTCAGCTGACACATCCCTCCCACCTCCTGGACAGCATCCATGTTGAAGCTGCCTTCAACATGGATGCTGTCCAGGAGGTGGGAGGGTCTGGGAGGGAAGGTCTGCTGGAGATTGGCCGGCATGTGTCAGCTGACCGGAGCTCGCCACGAACGGTTCGCGACATCTCTACTTATTTATTGACTTCCGCCATACTAGATAAGTCAGAAAGAAGGCTAGAGTGATGAAAGTACGTTTCTAGGAATAATTTATCTAGTTTTTTAGCATATAAAAGTATATAAAGTAGTATTAACATTATTTACGATTCAATCATTTTAATCAACTTCCAAAAGATGTAAAGCTGTGTTATCCCAGAATAAAATTAAGTCCTGGACCATATGTGTGCAGTTCATGCACTAACCAATTTTTCATAATGCCACCTATGCTTGTAAGCCCATATTGTTCTCTGCAGGACTCTGCTAAAGGCAAAGTATGATATATACTAAACAAAATATGGAGTATCCAGATTTAACAAATAGGACCACTGTAATAAAGAGAGATATAGATATAGATAAAGATATATATATATAGAGAGAGAGAGAGAAAGAGAGAGAGAATGTAATAGTTTTAAAAATGTATGCAGCCTCATTAGGGTGTCATAAGCCAAACCAGAACAATTGTTCCAGGTTTTTAATTCTGTGGATAGTGAATGTCTGATGTCAGCACTCACAGAACACTGGTCAGGCATCCAATGGAAACTGCCCCCCACCACCTTTGTGCTGGCTATGTCTTTGACTCAGCTCTCCAAATCAGGGCGAGTGACATTAGCAGAGGAGCATCAGGATGCAGAGGGAACTTGGCCTCTGTGCTGGAATGGAGGTAAGTTTTAGCTTTATTTTTTGGAGGGCAATGATCATTCATTACAAGAATAAAAGTCATGGTTTAACCTTTAACCCCTTAAGGACACATGAAATGTGTGACATGTCATGATTCCCTTTTATTCCAGAAGTTTGGTCCTTAAGGGGTTAAAGGATCACTATAGGGTAAGGAACACAAGTATGTATTCCTGACCCTATAGTGAAAGCTCACCATTTAGGTTGCTTGCCCCCCCAATGAGTAAAAAAAAAAAAACACCTTGCCTTATTTTTAACTCTCCACAGGTCTGACGGCGCTGGCCCCACCCGCTTGGTGACAATCAAAGTTGCTGATTTTTAGCCAATCCAATGCTTTCCCTTGGCTAAAATTCAGCAAGGGGGTGGGGCCAAACACAGTTTTGGCCAATCAGCACCTCCTCATAGAGATGCATTGAACTGTGCAGCACTGAGCCAGGAAGCACCTCCAAGTGGCCATCTGAGGAGTGGCCACTTGGAGGTGTCCCTAGGGGCAATGTAAACACCGTCTTTTCTCTGAAAAGACAGTGTTTACATGAAAATGCCTGAAGGGAGCTATTTTACTCATCAGAACAACTACATTAAGCTGTAGTTGTTCTGGTGACTATAGTGTCCCTTTAATGGAAGAAAATAAGTAATACATGACCTTAAAAATAAAAAATAAATTAAATTAAATTTTTATTTAAAAGGACATGATTTTCCTTTTAACATTAGCTCCACATAAATTGGTTTTCATTACAGAGTCCTATTTATGTGAATAATTCTTTATAAAATAAGAGCCATTTGGTTTAAATGTCAACTTTAAAACCTCAAGGTTTGGTTGCCTCTTGCTTCGGAAAAAGCTAGGTGTCAGTTGTATTTAGCAGGAGAGTACCAAGAAAGTGCTCCGATATATCCTGCAAAGAAACTGTTCACATCTCTACAACAAACGTGTTGATGAAAGTGGATGGATCAGGCTCTGCTGAAAGACTGAGCAACAGGTTTTAACCTGTGGAAGAAAAACATCCTGAGTAAAATGTTATCTGAAACGGCAAGCTCATTAATGTGTTCATTAAATATACTTCACATTATATACGAACAAAACAAGGCCATTCAAATATTTCATTTGGTGCAGATTAGTACAGAAAACATTACAGAGAAAACAGATGAAAGATTGGACATATAAATTATTTTAAATTCAATGATTTGAAGTGGTCATGGTGGCAGGAGTCAGTATGTGCAATTTTTTTTGTGTTTGAAACACTACACATGCAGAGATGATTTAATTGTCACCTGGGCTAGTGGTACACCCAGTAGGCGTGACATTGGCAGTCCAGAACTCTGGGTTTTCAATGTCAATTCTGTGCATATTTAGCATCTGTCAGCGTGCACTGCACGCCACGGACAGAGCGCCTGCAACTTAGAAAGCACAACCTCCTCCCCCACTACAAAAAAAACCCACCTCCTTGCCAGACCGGAGCATGCACACGCACTCTGAGCTGGTGAAACAAACTGTGAGATGCCTGGGATTGGTCAGCGCACAACCCCTTCTCTAGGGGACCTTCTCTATAGTGCCCAATAGGGGATTTAACATCAGAAAGGTACACCCCCTCACATAAGCGGTTGGAGCAACACCTTAGCTTTACTTTTTCTTATGTACATCATGATCTTTGGGAATGGATGGAGCAAGGGTGCTTTTCAGTTGCAAAAGTAACAAGCTCTTATGTGGCATTCGTCGACTCATGGATTGTGGGTAAACTGTAGACATCATGAGCAGAGGAAAACAAAATGGGGATAAGCAGATAAAGGCTTATGGAAAGTAAAACAGAGGACCAAAAAAAAAAAAATATGATAGTACCACTTCGTGTGGGGGAGAAGGTACGGATACTTTCATATACTAGGGAAAAGGCTCCTTGTATGACCTGTTTACCTTTTTTATTAGTGTGCCCTCAGCGATGCTGCTACTGTCCAAGGCATAGGCATGGAAGCTGAAATTGTTAAATAGATACTTAAGCACTAGTGATGTCGCGAACTTGCCGCAAACGGTTCGCCACGAACTCCGGTCAGCTGACACATCCCTGCCAATGTCCGGCAAACCCTCCCTCCCAGACCCTCCCACCTCCTGGACAGCATCCATGGGAGGGAGGGTCTGCCGGAGATTGGCAGGGATGTGTCAGCTGACCGGAGTTCGCGGCGAACGGTTCGCGACATCACTATCACCATGAACTCTTCAGTGAGTTGAAGTGATTATGGTGCCCAGAGTCTGTAAGTGTAGCATTTCGCACATACAGCGTTTATCCCATTTGCTGTCAGATCTCAACTTCCGGCAGCATCATTAAGCAGCCCGGTTCTGGCTGGCTTATGTCAATTTTGTGCATATTTCAATGCAGAGAATGTCATTCAATGGCTGAGAGCTATCAGCTGACGCTCTCAGTCAGTGCATAGCCAAGGGGATCCTCATTCAGCTTCGGCAGTTTGTCACAGCCTCTAGCATAGGACGCTTGGAGTCCCAGATAAGAAAGCAAACACTTAAACAGTTTACCCCTTACCAGGAATTGGCACCAGGGTACTCATAATCCACCCTTTAATAAACTGAATTTACTATTCCTTTACTTGTTGAGGACAATGTATAGGTGAAATGTACCTCACATCATTTTTGCATATTTCTGTAATTTGATATCCACTCTGCCAGACTCATCTACCTTTCCTCCATGAATTCTCACATCTACAAAGAGATGAAAACTACAAATACAGAGATTGCAGTGAGTACATGTGCTCCCACATGGCTCAGTGCAGTATAACACAAAGGACATAGTAGCAGGCCACATAGGATGTGCAGTCCACAGCAGAGATAGAATACAAACATCAGCCGAGCTGAGCATTGTACACACAAGCTAATTCTAGTGACTACAATGTCTGCATAAAAATGGTAAACAGTCCTAAAATGAAAGTCATTCACACATTTGTGGTGGATATGTCAACTTTAACTTTGAGGCAATAACTTTCATCATCAAATTGTCAGTTATGCGTATTGTCATTCCAAAAACAAACGGTGTCACAAGCTTTTATGCTCTGAGCTACAAAAGGCCTGCTTTCTTAGCAAGTGCGAGAACACAAATCATATAGCAGTAAAAATATGCACAACTCCACATACAAAGCTAAGCAAACCTTTCCAGGAACCCACTCATTCAAATGTGACAACTATTGTTTACTTAGCCAAGAGCAGATGAGAGACTGGTTTGATACAAATGGCAGGTCTTTCAGGTCCCTGTATATATTATGACTGTGTTCTGAAAAGCTGTGGAAAACAGTTTTTTTTTTTTTTTTTTAATAACCAGTTTCATGCCTGGGATTTCAGATTCCAAGTGGCAAGGTTTGAGTGCCATCCATAATGCCCTTATCTGGAAATAGCCCAACTATCCCATCTGATAAAATAGAATCACAGATGGAAGAACTTGATGGATAATTGGCAAGTATGATCTTGTAGTTGAATGACTACTGTCATGCATGGCTCCTAGCGTTCAGATGTGGAAGGCAAGATTTATTTTTTTACTGAAACCAGGTGAAATCATGTCTTTTCATAACAAGACTACTGACCAAATGTTCAAAATAAAGAACATTAAATAACTTCTACAGTAGAAAAAAAACAAAGTTTATAAATGCACATAGTCTGAAGATAAAATGTCACGTAATACCAGAGATGGATGCCATTTAATCCTGGGCAAGGTCTTTCAATACTTCAAACAGCACATAGAAGTGGTTAGAGTGCCTTTCATCTATGTGTCCCAGCTCCTGCATTCCTGAACAGTTATCGGTTTCACAGGGTCTCTTGGAATTTGTAATCTGTCCCCCACTGACTGTATAATGTAGACTGAGAGGAGCATTACAACGAACTGAGTCATACTAGGCAGTGATTGGATGAGTGTGCCAGGTGGCGCCATCAACCTTTTATGGTGTAAGGCAGTACTTCTCCATCTCCATTATGCAATCATCAGGGGCCCAGTTATGACTACTGAGGGACCCTGCATCGCTGTTAAACTGTAAAATATTGCACTTTGATAGGTATGTGGGTGCAACACACACACAATTCAGGAACCATAATTACTTCAAAAAGTTGAAGTGCATATGTTGCCTACATAGTCCCTTTAACTCAAGTGTGATAAAAAGGAACTATTGGCAACTTTATTAAAGGGACACTATAGTCACCAAAATAACTTTATCTTAATGAAGCAGTTTTAGTGTACAGATTGGTCTCTGCTAATTTCTCTGCCATTTAGGAGTTAAATCATTTTGTTTAGACAGCCCTAGTCACACACCCCTGCATGTGACTTACACAACCTACCTAAACACTTGCTGTAAAATGTAATGTTTACACTTTCTTTATTGCAGTCTGTTTAATTTAGAGGTTCATATCTCCTGCTCTGTTAGCGGTTTGCTAGACCCTGCTGGAGTCTCTTGTGTGTATTTAAAATTAAGTTTAAAGAGCAGGTAATAAAAACTTCTGAAGCAAGTTAACATCTTATTAAAAATAAAAAAACTATTTTTCATGCAGGCTATGTCAATCACTGCCAGGGAAGGTGTGGCTAAGGCTGCATAAAGAAAAAAAAAAAGTTATTTAACTCCTAAATGGCAAAGAATTGAGAAGTGAGACTGCTGCATGATCAGCACACAATAACTGCTTCATTAAAGGACCACTATAGTGCCAGGAAAACATACTCGTTTTCCTGGCACTATAGTGCCCTGAGGGTGCCCCCACCCTCAGGGTCCCCCTCCCGCCCGGCTCTGGAAAGGGAAAAGGGGTTAAAACTTACCCTTTTCCAGCGCTGGGCGGAGAGCTCTCCTCCTCCGATCCTCCTCCGTTACGCCCCGCCGGCTGAATGCGCACACTCGGCAAGAGCTGCGCGCGCATTCAGCCGGTCTCATAGGAAAGCATTTACAATGCTTTCCTATGGACGCTGGCGTGCTCTCACTGTGAAAAATCACAGTGAGAAGCACGCAAGCGCCTCTAGTGGCTGTCAATGAGACAGCCACTAGAGGCTTTGGGGGAAGGCTTAACCCATTAATAAACATAGCAGTTTCTCTGAAACTGCTATGTTTATTAAAAAATGGGTTAACCCTAGCTGGACCTGGCACCCAGACCACTTTATTAAGCTGAAGTGGTCTGGGAGCCTAGAGTGGTCCTTTAAGCTTAGGTTGTTTTGGTAACCATAGTGTCCCTTTAGGTTGCACAGGTATTTATTTTGCAAAAGTTAATTATGAATGTAATTTCTTGCAAACTAGTCTAACACACAATACAACATTTAACAAAAAAAATAAAAAAAATAAAAAGGATCAGGAAAATAGCAGGGTATCACACCCACTTTCAATTCACTGCAAAAGGAGCAGAGGATCAGCTACAGCTTTAAATGAGGGAGTAAGAAGTATATTTTCTATGATTATTTTGCATTCATTTTAGTGCATTAACACATGACAAAAAAAATAAAAAAAATGGGGGAGTGGGGCAGTGGAGTGGGACATCCCCAGCCTGAAGTAGTTATTTAATAACATATAGCATTATATTTAACTTAACATACTATTTGGAAAAAGTAAAATCCTTTACTGCAAATATTAAAGTTTTAAGACATATTGCTCTTCATCAAATCCCTTGCTTCTGAGAGATTGGCAAACATTATGTTTTAAGAAACATCACGAATGCCAATGTTGAGATGTATGACATATGGAAATGTTCTCGGTCCACTTTATGCAAACACAGCAACAAAATCTAATATGGAAAATCACTGTGCCATTTGTCAATCCTTTCTGTAATACACATGACAATAATATGTAAATACATTCCAAATATAGGCTAGGAAACAATACGTGCATTTTAATGTACCCCATTTTTTTAAATTTAGCTTACACAGGCGTACTAAAGTAACAGATGTATGTAGTCTGAGCCTTGAACCCTGGTCATCAATATGTAAAGCTTAAATCAGATAATTACATTCTAATAATAATAATAATAATAAAGTAGCTTGGTTTTAAAGATACACTGGGCTAATATTAACACAATTAAAGCAGTGCCTTATAATTAACCATGTATCTCAGATACTTTTTGTATTGCAACCATACCCAATCCATTCAGCCAATCATTGCCCTTTATTCAAATTTAATAAAAGTAAATGTTATTGGGCTGATCTATTACATATATGGTCTGCAGGTCTCACATATCAAGCCTTCAGGACTATGCACTTTCCACTGCGAGGACCGACTGCAGAGTTTACACCTCTACTGTGTGTCCACAGGTCAGCAATACCAACAACACTGAGCCACTTTCGAATGCAGAGGAAAGTTGGATCCCTGTCACATCAGTGCTTAGCAATGAAGCGGGGACTAAGCATTTCCTGACTCACTCCTTTGCCGTGTATTACTGGATGGTACTAGAAAATGTCAGTCTTCCTTCACTAAGTCACACACCCACAAAAAAAAGTATGGGCACTGCTCACCATAAGAAAAAGGTAAGGAAGTGGGCAACACATACAACAAATAATCATAACAATTGTAAGGAAGTGGCAGTAAAAAAAAAAAAGAAGGGGCTAAAACATAAGGGCTACGAAAGAGAGGGACAGACAAAAAATAGGATCAAACACATGACAAGAGATACTGGGAGGAATACAGAAATAATAAGTACAAAGACAAAGGAGACAGAAGTAGATACAAGAGGTGGAGCAGACAGATAGCCATTAATAAATGGCAGAGAGGAAAGCAGAGACTGGCATGGAGCATATAGCTCAAAATAAAGGGACGCAGAGGGATGGAGACAGGAAAAGGTGGGTTTTGAGCCAGACAAAGTGGAGATTACTATTAAGCAATTACAAAGAGCACATTTACACATCAACAGTCAT